CGGGTAGGAGACCGGAGCAGCGGTGGCGTCCGTCACCGTCCCCGCCAGCACGGCGCGCGCGCGCACGCGCGCGACGCGGGCCCGGCCCGACCCTGCCCCAACCAGCCGGCTTCACCTCGCCGCGCCTTGCCGCGAACTCACCTCACAGCCCCGCTCCGGCTGCTCCGCTCCGGGTCCAACCGACTGAAGGACTCTGCGTGCTGCGCACCACGTGACCCCGGGGACGCGCCCAGCGTATCCCCCGCCCCCCACACACACGCACCATCGACTCCACCGAGTGACGCAGCGCCTCAGCTGCCCCGCCCTCGGCCCCGCCCCACCCGATCACCGTGGCGACGGCTCGGGCGGGACACGCCCACTGCCCTGACGCGCGGTAACAGGCCTTCTCCCGGGTCCGGAGCACGAAGTCCCCTCTCACTCGTATCCACTGTGATCACACGAAGGCCAGGACTGGACACTATCCATCACCTGTTAATTTTGCTTCCTGAATGCATCTCGAAGCCTCCTACTTCTCTGCATCCTGCTGCCAGCCCTCCAGTCTAGTCCACCATCACCTCTCTCCTAGATGATGGTTGTCCTCTCCACCCGATTACTCTTTCCTCTTCCAATCCATTCACACCCAGACAGCGGGAGCTTTTCAAAACGCAACTATATTCACAGCCATCCCCTGCTCAAAGCCCGTTGCCCGCTGTTCTTCAGATTAAGATCTAAATCTTCACTGTGTGCCAGGCTCTTCAGAGTCTGTACCTAACTTTCCTCTCTCACATTGGCACGCACTCAGCTCCCCCACATTCTCAGTTCTCAGCATCTTTCAAGTCCTCAAACAAGCCAGGTTCCTTTCCGCCTCAGGGCCTTTGTACTCATTCCCCCCGACTCCACTTCACTTCATTAGCTCGTAGGAAAGGATTCCAATTGCTGGTGTGGCGAGGAGCAGTATTCTGCCTCAGGGGACCAGGTCGGAGTTGCAGCCACCCCCCAAGGGTCTGAGATGTTTTCCCACTGGGACTTGGGAAATTCCAAAGAGGAATGCTTAACATTTGTTATTTAGGAAGGCAACAATGACTTTATTTTACTTTGGAAAAACAAGGCAGCTAGATTGCACTTTTTAAATGTAAATGTAATCACGTCACTGCCCTGCTTAGAACAACCAATCTCTCCATCACATCCTCCACCCTTGCTATTTCTCTGGCTACATTGACTTGCTATCATTTCTATGGTTCTCTCCAAGCTCTGTCCAGACACTGGGCCATTGACTAGGCTGTTGGTTTTTGCAAAACTAACCCTTTAACAGCTTTCAGTTTGTCATCTCCTCGGTGAGGTCCTCTTTGACTACATTAGCTAGAAAGTGCTCCCCTTGATCTCCTGCCTCATACAGGGAAATTGCTCTCTACCTTATCACTGTTCATTTTCATCAGAGAACTTAACATAGTTTGTAATTATTTAATTTGTTTGTTCTCTTGGTTTTATTTGTCTTTTTCCCCAAAATTAGAGTTAGGAACTATCTTGTATCTACTGAATTGTCAGAACCTGACAAATAGTAGATGCTCATTATGTATCTGTGGAAGGAATGAAAGGAAAGAGAATATTTGGGGGGAAAAATGATAATTGAAAATAATGAGTAGATTCTTCTTTAATGACCTGGCTGCATAGGAGTGGTCTTTTCAAATCTGGACTGGAGGCTGAAGAGAGGATTTCCTGAGCTGATGTAGTCAGGGCAGAGAGCAGTGCTTAGGGAGAGCTTCTAGGAAACCAGGGACAAAAGGTTCAGCTGTACACACTTTGACAACACATATACAAAAGTTGTAACCATACAGAGAAAATTAGTGTGGCCCCTGCCCAAGGATAACATGCAAATTAGTGAAGTGTTCCATATATATTTTTTTTTTTTTTGCGGTACACGGGCCTCTCACCGTTGTGGCCTCTCCCGTTGGGGAGCACTGGCTCCAGACGCGCAGGCTCAGTGGCCATGGCTCACCGGCCCAGCCGCTCCGCGGCATGTAGGATCTTCCCGGACCAGGGCACGAACCCGTGTCCCCTGCATCAGCAGGCGGACTCTCAACCACTGCGCCACCAGGGAAGCCCAAAGTGTTCCATATTTTTTAAAAAATTTAAAACACCTTCTGGAATTTGAGGACCAAAAGTACCTACATGAACTCGGATAAGGGCTCAGATACAGGAAGAAAGGACCTTCCCAGGATCCTCTGGGTTTATGTTTATTAACGTGAAATTGCTCAGATTTTAGTGGCTATTGTAGCATATAGAGAATTTTTTTGCCCCGCAACCGAAGTCATGCCACGAATCCATAGCCCCATACAAATATAACATGTTTCTTTACATATTCAACCTGCAAATATAGAGACCCAGGCTTGAGCTGAGCATCAAAGACACAGAGCAGCGGACTTCATTGGCGGTGCAGTGGTTAAGACTCCGTGCTTCCACTGCAGGGGCAACGGGTTTGATTCCTGGTGGGTCAGATCCCACATGCTGGCAGTGCAGCCAAAAAAAAAGACACAGAACAGAATGAGATTTAGGCCCTGCTCTCAAGGAGTTTACATCCTGGTAAAGAAATCATCACAATTTGTAAGTTAAAATTCTTTTTGTCTGTTGCAAATACAAACATGGACACTGTTGCAAGTACAAACAAAAGAAACATGTATTACAAGGATGTTTGGGGACCCAGAGCATGCACAGGAGGGCAGCCTTGGAAAATAAGCAGCACAGAGCAGCTCCAGCAAGAAACAGCAGCTTCTGCAGCCAGCAGCACCACACATCACAGCTGGGATTCAATCCTAACATCCCTTTGTCTTTGAGTCACTCACTCAAGAGGCAAAGTCTTGGCGGGGAGCTGATGTTGATTGGTCAATCTCAGGTCACATGGATTAGTCTAGGCTGCCAGGGGAAGAGAGAAACGATTTTCCCCTAAGGATATCCCCCCAAATGAAAAGAGAGGGGGAGGACTGATGCTGGCCAGACAAAAATAACTTCATACAAGTATGAATGAAATACCTTGGGAGTTAAGCTTTTCCTGATTAAAAAACCTGTGGAGAGCTTCCCTGGTGGCGCAGTGGTTAAGAATCCGCCTGCCACTGCAGGGAACACGGGTTTGAGCCCTGGTCCAGGAAGATCCCACATGCCATGGAGCAGCTAAGCCCATGCGCCACAACTACTGAGCCTGCACTCTAGAGCCCGCGAGCCAAAACTACTGAGCCCAAGTGCCACAACTACTGAAGCCCGTGCTCCCAGAGCCCATGCTGCACAACAGGAGAAGCCACCGCAATGAGAAGCCCGCGCACTGTAACGAAGAGTAGCCCCTGCTCACCACAACCAGAGGAAGCCTGCGTGGAGCAACAAAGACGCAACACAGCCAAAAATAAATAAAATAAACAAAAAAACCCCTGCGGAAACCTGGCTTGCTTGCTTCTGAACTGAATGGTCCTGGGCTGCTAGTCACAGAATCCCAGTTTGAAAAGTTCTGGTCTAAACTCCAGGTCTCACCACTGCCTCTTTAGCAACTTCCATTATTCTTCCTTAAGGCCCTCCCCAGCATCTCACTAGTAGTTGGTCTCAACCTCCCAATTCTTTCTTACCTAGAACCTTTCTTTGTCTAGATAGGCATTCAATTAATAGTTGTGATTGAGTGAACAAGTGATAGAATGAATGTACAGCAGCCTCAACTTCAGAGAGTAGAATCTCTCCAACCATTTCAGAACTGTGGTCCCAGCACATAAGATGACAGCTCCACAATGAAACCCTACATACACACGAGAATATACTGTAGCACCAGAGATAATCAATACCTGCATGGAAGTGTCCTTTCTCTCCCTAAGCATCACTTTTCTTCAACTGTAAAATGGGATGATATTTACCCTCATTCATAGAATTATCACGATTAAGTTAAATAACATGTGAGAGTGTACTGCATAGTTCTATATAAATAATTTTCCAATTGCTTTCTTACTAGATTCATTGTCTAGAGTATTCAATGTCCCTAGCTAAAGAAATGCAGAATTAAAGAACTGAGATAGGATATTCAATTAGAAAACTGATCTTTCTCAACCTCTACCCAGCAAACCCTTATACTCTGCCCTTATGCAACCCCAAGGCATTTACAATCAGTCTGTCAAGGGAAACGGGGAAAACTAAAACAGAAAAGCAAGCCCCTTGGCTGTGACTCACACCCACAGATCCCATGTACTCAGAGTATCACCAAGCCTGAGCATGTCAGTCTCCAAAGCAGGAACAGGGGTATGACATCTGCAGCACCAAGCTGAGTGTGAGAACTCAGGAAGTCGGAAACCACAGTCACAGCAGCATCTGAGGTCCAAGAACCTCCACAAGGCACCAGGGGCCCAAGGGAAGTGGGTTGAGTCTTTGCCCTGGTCTGAGGTCTCTATAATCTGGGCCTGATGGAAAGTTACTGAGCTCCTCAAGCCTTACTGCTCTCCAAGTGAGGGGGAGGAGAATTAAGTAGGAATTCCAATATATTTCCAGCGTTTTGCAAGATTATATGGAGGGGGTAGGGGCAGGGAGAGAAGGACGTTTTTTATTCTTGCTATAGCCACTAAAGAGAGGGATAAAATCCACCTGGACCACTTCAAGGGCAGGGACTATGTTCTGTTCTCCTTTGTCCCTTGGGAGTCCCAGTACCTAGCACTGTTCCCTGTAATTTAAGCATACTTAATACTTGTTTCTTGCAGGTTGAAACTTTTGCCAGTTTAGAGATAAAGAGAAAGGGGGAGGAGTTTAGCCCCAGAGACTACTGGAATGGAAGCTATAAAGAAGTCAATTAAAGAAACAGTCTCTAAAAATCTGCTAGACTCCAGTTCACTCCCCAGATTTCTTGTAATTTAATTTTAAATAGTCATGCTGTCCCATGATTCAAATTCCAGAAATTATATAAAAGGTATACAATACAAAGTCTCCCTTTGCTCCTATCTTTGCTCCCGCACCAGAGATGGAACCCATGCCCCCTGCTGTGGAAGCACTGGGTCCTAACCACTGCACCACCAACTCTTACTTTCTTATGAATCCTTCCAGTATTTCTTTATGAGTATAAGCAAAGCTGAATATAAGTTCAAATATATTTTGAACTTTTTACACAAAAGAAAGCATTGATACATGGTGTTCTCCACCTTAATTTTGTCACTAAAC